GTTTACGCAGTGAACCTGGACCCTGCAGCAGCAGCAGTTCCTTTTGCTGCTGCAGTGGATATTCGCGACAGCATTAATTATAAACACTTAATGAGGGTTTACGAGTTGGGGCCAAACGGGGGGATGTTGACGGCCCTAAACCTCTTCGCCACCAAGATCGGCGCGCTGCTGCAGCTCATTTTCAACAGATGCAGCAGCAGCAGCAGCAGCAGCAGCAGCAGCAGCAGCAGCAGCAGCGGGGGCGAAGGGGGCGGGGTGGGAGCTGCGCAGCAGAGCGAGGGAGCGCCCGCTGCTCCCAGCAGCAGCAGCGGCAGCAGCAGCAGCAGCGGCAGCAGCAGCAGCAGCGGCAGCAGCAGCAGCAGCAGCAGCAGCAGCAGCAGCGGCAGCAGCAGCAGCAGCAGCAGCAGCAGCAAGAGGGGGATAGACGTGGTGCTGGTGGACACTCCTGGGCAAATAGAAGTGTTTACTTGGAGCGCGAGCGGGGCTTTAATTGCAGAAGCTTTTGCTGCCAGCTTTCCCACTTTGCTGCTGTATGCAGCAGACTGCTGCAGCTGCCAAGCCCCAAACAGCTTCCTCAGCAACTTAGTGCATGCATGCAGCGTTTGCTTCCGCCACAAACTTCCCTTTTTGCTGCTGCTCAACAAGACAGACGCAGCAGACCCCAACAAAGTCCTCAAACTCCTCAACAACTACGAAGACTTCCAGGTCTGCTGCTGCTGCTGCTGCTGCTGCTGCTGCTGATGCTGATGGTGCTGCTGCTGGGGTGGTGGTGATGGTGGCGCTGCTGCTGCTGCTGTTGGGGTGGTGCTGCTGCTGCTGCTGCTGCTGCTGCTGCTGCTGCTGCTGCTTGCTGCTTCTTGCTGCTGCCCATTCGCTTTAGTTGTTTATTTTTATTTGTTTATTAATTGTTTTATTATTTAAATTATTAATTTGGTTTTCATTTTGATGTTGGTGCATCTTAATGTTCCCTAATTGGTGTTCCTACTTCTGTTCTTTCAGCTGCCATTATCCACCTTCATTTATTTATTTATTTATTTATTTATTTATTTATTATTTCATTTATTTGTTTATTTCTTTATTTGTTTATTTACTTTTATTTCGTTTCTTTCCTTCCTCTTTTTCCTTTGTCCTTTTCCAGTTGTTTTTGAAAGAGTTTGGAATTTGTTTTTTTTGTTTTCTGCATTTAGAGTTTCCTTTTGAATTATTTCTTCATTTAAATTTGAATTTGAGTTTAATTTTTGATTTAAAATTCAAATTTGATTTAATTTTAAAGTTAAAACTCAACTTTGTGATCTTCTCTTCGTTTGAATGTGCAATTTGAATTTTTTCTCCATTTCAAGTTGGATTTGAATTATTTCTTCATTTAAATTGCAATTTGAATTTAATTTTTAATTTGGAATGCAAATTTTAATTTGTTTTCGCATTTAAAACTCGAAATTGGATTACTTTTCCACTTAAAAGGTTCCAACTTGAATTATTTCGCCATTTCAAATTGCGGGTTCTTAAATTGTGAGTTTCTGCGTGGGATTTCTTCCTGAAAAGGATTTAAAACGATGAAGTGAATTATTTTAATTTATTTTAATTTATTTTTAATTTATTTTAATTTATTTTTAATTTTAATTTCTTTTTTTTCATTCAGGAAGCCCTTTTGGCGGACGATCGTTACATGGGCAGCCTGGGCCGGTCCACGGCGTTGGCGCTGTGCAGCTTTTACGAGAAAATTGAAACTCTGGGAGTTTCTGCTGCCACTTTGGAGGTTTGTTTTCATTTAATTGCATTTATTTCTTTTTATTTTTATATTCTTTTCTTTTATTTTCTTTTATTTCGAAATTTTAGTCCATTTCCTCCCACTTTCACTTTCATTCCATTTCCGCTGCAGGTTTCCCTCCCGCAGCCAACTCAGCAGTTTCTTCTTTTTCATTCATTATTCTTTAATTCTTTTTTAAATTAAAAGCAGTTTTAATTTTATTCTTTTATTTCAATTAATCCATTACTCTTTAAATGTTTCATTTTTATCCCTCTTGTCTTTTCTGTTCATTTATTTCAATTCTCGTTGAAAGACTTTTCGTCATTTTCTGCTTCTGCATTCATTTTGTGTGTCTTGCTTCTTATTTATTGTTTTAAATCTGTCTTTTTAATTTTTTATTTATTCATTTATTCATTTTGATTATTTATTTAACTTATTTCTTCACTTTAGTTGTTCTTTAGATCATTCTGGCGGCCAGGCGCTGCTAGCGAGCTCAACGCGTGCTGCTGCTGCTGCAGCAGTTTGAACTGCTGTCGCTGCGCTGCTGCTGCTGCTGAGACTGTTGTTCTCACTGCTGTTGCCTTGCTGCTGCTGCTGCTGCTGCTGCTGCTGCAGGGGATGGACAAGCTGTGGCCTTGTCTGCTGAGGCTGCGGCAAGAATACCAAGAGCAGTATATTCCTTATTTGCTGCAGCAGCGGCAGCGGGCGCAGGAGCGGAAGCTGAAGCAGCAGCAGCGCCAGCTCGAGCGCTTTATAGCTGACAGCAGCAGCAGCAGCAGCAGCAGCAGCAGCGGGCGCGCAGCAGCAGCAGCAGAGGAAAGCGACAAGCGAGAAGCAGACTAGCAGCAGCAGCTGCATGCATGCGGCTGAGGCGCGGTGTACGTACACCCCAATCCAGCTAGGGCAACTGCAGCAGCATTTTAGTAAAGCCCCATTTCTTTTGCTGCTGCATGCATTTCAACAAACCAAACATTTCTTTCCAACTTGTCTTAGGAGAAACTAACTGCAGCAGCAGCAAACGCAGCAGCAGCAGCAGCACGAGCTAGTCTAGACAGCGCAGTCGGGGGCAGCCCCAGATGCATGCAAGCGAAACCTGCCGCATCAAAAAAGCCCCAAGACGCATGCATGCATGCACCATGTGCGCATGCATGCATGCACGGCATGCATGCATGCATGCGTGCATGCATGCATGCATGCATGCATGCGTACATGCATGCATGCATGCGTGCATGCATGCATGCACGCGAGTGCTTTGGAACAGCACGTAGCCCCAAAAACGAAAGTCATGTTGCTGCACGAGGCCGCATGCAGCCCCAACGCGACGAGAAACAATCCTGCACGCATGCATGCATGCATGCATGCATGCATGCATGCATGCATGCACGCACGCATGCATGCATGCATGCGTTTTATTGTGGGGCTGCATGCGGCGCATGCAGACTGCAGTGGGAAGGGTGTGGGGCAGTCGAAGACTTGTGGACTTTCGCCGATTTGTACCGCCAAGTGGAAATGCAGCAAATTTTAATTTAATAAATAATTTAATTCATTTGCCCTCAAAGCTAAGGAGCTGCTGGCGACATCCGCGCATGCAAAGAAAGCCCCCCAAATGACCCTGCATGCATGCATGCATGCATGCATGCATGCATGCATGCATGCATGCAAGTAAAGCGCATGCATGCATGCCTGCCTGCGCGCATGCATGTAAAGCGCATGCGCGCATGCATGCGTGCATGCATGCATGCGTGCGTGCATGCATGCATGCATGCGTTTTGGGGCTGCATGCAGCAGCCGTAAAAAATAGTTCGGCGCTTTTCTTCGCGCGCACTTGTGGGGAAGTCTTTGGGCGTGCAGGCAGAAGACTTAAATGGAGCAAAAGCACGAATACTGTGGAAGTAAATGTAAATATAATTGTAAATATAAATATAATTGTAAATATAAACATAATTGTAGACATAAATATAAATATAAATGCAAAATTAAATGTAAAATCAAAAGCGCGCCTACGGCCCGTTTCGCCAGGTGTACAGACACCTGCCGCAAACGGGGGCTTCTCGCCGAAATCCGAAACTCTTTTTGTTTTATTTTCTTTCAATTTACATTTAAATTACATTTAATTTATATTTATTTTGTTTTAATTCATTTCTTTTTGTTTCGGGCCTTTAAATGACACACTTTTCCCGCGCATGCATGCACAGTGGTCCAACTTGGCTACTTTTGCACTTTCACAAGTAGAAGGAATAAACAAATGATTTGAAGTGCTTTTGGACTTGCCCTTTTGGGTTTTTTATTTGTTTTAAATATATTTATATTTATATTTATATTTGTCTTCATTTTCCTTTCCAATGCATGCACTTTCAATGCACATTGCTGCCTCCTCCTTGGAAACTAATTAACTCCAGAGATCAATGCGAACTGCTGCTCGGGTGTACAGACAGCTCTCCGCGAACACAAGAGCTGCCTGTACACCGCAGCAGCAAACCGACTGGCCTGCCACTGAAACTGCTGCTGCTGCTGCTGCAGCTGCTGCTGCAGCTGCTGCTGCAGCTGCTGCTGCAGCTGCTGCACCTGCTGCTGCAGCAGCAAGCACCCACCAGCCACCCCTGCGGCGCAGTTCAGCCGCAGCATCCCGCGGCCGTCGCAGCCGTCGCAGCAGCAGCAGCAACTGCTGCTGCAGCAGCAGCAGCAGGATGCATTTATTCCTCTTCTTTGATTTTGATTTTGTGCTTTTGCTGCTTCTTCTTTGCTGCTGCTTCGCCCTGAGGTGAAGCCAATTGCACATCTCCCAAAAGGCAAAGCACCAGCTCCGAGACCTAAACGCATGCAGCAGCAGCAGCAGCAGCAGCAGCAGTTTTTAATAACTTACTTGTTATTTATTTGTTGTTTATTTTATGAAATAAATCTACTTTTTTCCTCTTGTAATACAATGTACATTTGCATTTAAATGGCTTTCTAGCATTGACATTTAGGTTTGTTTTTATTTTCCCTAAAAGCAGCAGCAGCAGCAGCAGCAGCAGCAGCAGCAAACCTGGAGATGCCGCAGCAGCTCTTTGTGCGTTTCTGCTGCTGCTGCTGTTTGCTGCTGCATGCGTTTGAGGCAAAGAGCAGCAGCAGCGCCGGCCTTCAGCTGCCCCGGCAGCAGCTTTAGCTTGAACTCGCAGTGCTGCAAAAGAAACAAATTAAATAATTAAATTAAATAATTAATTACTTCAATTAATTAATTAAATTAATTAATTAAATTAATTGAAAAGTTCATTTGTTTAATATTTATTAAGCAGCAGCAAAGAATAGGCAGTAGCAGCAGCAGCAAAACAAGCAGCTCCAGCAGCAAAAGCTGCACAAAACGCAGAAGTGAGGCAGGCAGCAACAGCAGCAACAGCAGCAGCAGCACAGCGACAGCAGCAACAACAGCAGCAAAAGCAGCAGCAGCAAAAGCAGCAAGTCCAGCAGCAGCAGCAGCAGCAGCAGAAGCAGCAAAAGCAGCAAGAACAGCAGCACCAGCACGAGCAACACGAACATCAGCAGCAGCAGCATCAAAAGCAGCAACAACAGCAGCAGGAGCAACAGGAACAGCAGCAGCAGCAGCAGCAACAAAAGCACAAAGAACAGCAGCACCAGCAAGAGCAACACGAACATCAGCAGCAGCAAAAGCAGCAACAACAGCAGCACCAGCACGAGCAACAGGAACAGCAGCAGCAGCA